TAGGGAGTGGGTGGGTGCATTCACTCACGGGTCCCTCCTTGCGGCCGTTAGCCCACTCGCCCTCATAGACGGTGCTGTCATCCTGCACACCCAGACACACACATCGGTGGTCGATCGATGCGACATCAGTAAGTAGAGCTGTCAGACGAGCATCCATCCGTACCGCGCATGAGAAGTATCCCTGTCCGTGCCGTTTGTCGTCCTGCCACTGGCCCTCGTAGCGGTTGCCGTTCTGGTACGTGAACACGCCGGTCCCACACGCGCGGTCGTCCATCCACTGACCTGGTGGTCGTCATACACCGTCACACACACAAGGGCATCCATACGTAAGCACGTGGCTTCACACACGAGGGAGGAGACCCCGCCACCCACCCAGCCACCCACCCAGCCACCCACCCTTGAATCTATCTCCGTTTGCGTACAGCAGCTCGCCATCGCCATGTCTCTGACACACGCAAACCACAGAGGAAAGGGAAACCACACACAGATTGTCCGTCCGTCAACGGCTGGTGGTGTCGGTGCGGTTGGTCTTGCTTTGCTTGCCTCACTCACCTTGGCGTCCACCCAGTCGCCGACGTATTTGTCTCCGCGCGTGTAGGTCAGCGTCCCCTTGCCGTGGACCTACACATAACACACAACCAGACACAATCAGTACAGACAGATGGCTTGTGGGTACTGAGTGAGTGGGTGGCTGTGTGCGTGCGTGTGTGTGTGTGTTGGTGTGACCTTATCGCACTTCCAGTAGCCCTCGTACTTCTCGCCGTTCTGGTAGGTCAGCGTGCCGTAGCTGATAGCATGTAAGTGGGTGGGCATCACACAAAGACACACACACAGAGAGAGAAAAATGGGGACGGTGTATTGTGTTCGTTGCCTTTTGTGTGTGTGGGTGGTCACTCACCCCTCCTTCATGTCGTTGACCCACGCTCTCGTAGACGTTGCCGTTGGGGAACATGTAGGTGCCCTTGCCGTGCATCTTGCCGTCCATCCAGTCGCCCTGGTACACCCCTCCTTCGGCGTACACGTACTTGCCGTGGCCGTGCCTCTTGCCGTTGACCCAGTCGCCCTCGTACTTCTCAACCACGTTGCCCTTGGCGCTCACGTACGTCACCGTGCCCTTGCCGTGCCGCTTGTCGTCGCGCCACTCGCCGTGGTACACGTCACCCTCGGCGTAGCGGTACGTCCCCCGGCCGTGCATCTTGCCGTCCACCCAGTCGCCCTCGTACTCGTCGCCATTCTGGTAGGTCAGCTTGCCCTCGTCGTTGATGCGGCCGTTCTCCCACTGCCCCTCGTAGCGGTTGCCGCTCGCAAACAGCGCCGTGCCGTGGCCGTGGATGCGGTCATCGACCCACTGGCCCTCGAACACCGCACCGTCCGCGTAGCTAAACGTGCCCTGGCCCTCGCGCTTGCCAAAGACGAACTCGCCCTCATACTTCTCGTTGCCTGCACACACACACACATACAACGGCACGTGGGTGGATGCATCAGTGGGTCGGTCCTCTCCCAGCCAGTGTGAGAGACCTACCCTGGTAGATGAGGGTGCCGCGGCCGTGGAAGAGACTGCCATGGCCACACAGAACGACAGAGAGCGTTTTGCGGTGGGCACCGGGCCAGCGTCTGCTGTGCCTGCCTCACCCGTCCTTGATCTGGCCATGGTACGCGTTCCTAACGGCGCAGGAGATGAGGCATTTGGGGTGCGTGTGAGCCGACTGTGTGTGTCCGTGAGCCTCACCCGGCCTCCATCTCGAATCAGCCGAGCCCACGCGAGAGGGGTGCGAGAAAACCTGAAAAAGACAAAGAAAACGACGAGAGAAGGCAAAGATGTGATGCGGAGGGCGTTCTGCTGCGTCATCTGTGGCACGGCACGGCACGGCATGTGTGTGCGTCCGCCATTTCATCATCCACATGTGTGTTCGTGATCCGTTACAGTTCGATTGCGTAGTTTGGCTGTCCTGCTCCTCACACAGCATTCAGACACATCGGCCGGGCGATGTGTCCTCACATTCGATCTACTGTTTTGTGGGCGGCGCCACACCGAAAACCCTCGAGTGTCTCCTTGCTTGTCTGTGTCAGTCATTGGTTTGTGTCTCATTGCTCGCCATCCCTGCATTCAATTGATAGTTCTCGTCATGGCGCATCTATCGCCGGCACCAGCTAAAAATGAGGCGGATCAACTCGACCGCTCAGTTTGTAGTGGTCCTCGGGGAAGAGATTGCGGATGTAGGCGATGCTCGAGAGGCTGGCGCGGAGAGCATTACGGATCACTGAACGAAAGATAAAGATTAGACAACACATGTACAGGCGTGAGTGACCACGTGTGCGTGTGGCCGGGTGATTGTGTGGTGAGTGATTGTGTGCCGACGGCATAGCGATTGCGTGCCGCTGATAGTGGATGCTCTCCGCGATAGGGACTGCATAGTGAGCACTGACACACAGACAGGCTGGCAGGCAGGCAGGCAGACAGGCACACAACGGTATGTGCCTTGAACCATCAGTGACGACATGATTGGTTCTGTGTGTGAGGAGAGCTGGAATGCTAGTCGAGGCACGTGAATGAGAGTGGATGTGTGAATGACTGACTGACTGACACATCATGGCCATGAATGAAGCCTGATGGTGGCGACTTCTGCTGGGTGGCCTGAGCCGTTGCCATTTGCACTCTTTCAATGCGACGCGACAAGAGAAGAAAGCCAATCAATCAATCAATCAATCGATCACTTATCACTGATCACTGAATGAATCGTTGCTCTTTGCAAAATCGATCTCATTAATGCGTAAGCGACACTGACGTATGCGACTAATCTAACGAATTCCCGATCGATCGTCCGTTGGTTGACCCAGCCTCCGTGTGTCTGTCTGTCTGTCTCTGTTCGTCACTTGTCTGTCTTCAGTCCATGGACGCTGGGCACTCCTTCGAACGAACGCTCACGTGTCGAGCTGGCTCTTGGGTGAGACACCTCCACACACACCGACTCATACCTGCACACACATACTTCCTCGTGCTGTGCTGCTCTCACACAAACACGACACACACGTCTTTACTTGGCGTGTGTGTGGTTGAGTTGCTGTTTGGTGTGGGTGAGCTGCGCCGCGAGTGTGGACTCGGCCTCACGCACACGCATCAGCTCGTCAGACAACTCACTCACCTACACGGACAGAGAGAGAGAGAGAGAGGTCAATGGCTGCATCTGCCCGGTGTCTCTCTCTGTCTGTCTGTGTGTGACCTTCTTGTTGTGTTGCTGCTGGAGTGCATTGATTTGTGCGTCGTGTTGTTTGTTGAGGGTGGCAATCTGTCGGTCCATCTGGGTGAGCTGATCGTGGAGGGCCGCTGATGTCTCGATGAAGCTCTTCTCGTGCGCCTCCACGGCATCCGCCCGACCAGCCAACGAACACAACACACCCAACTCTGCAGACACACACAAACACGCACACACAGAGAGAGGTGTGAGTAAGCAACCAGTGCAGTGTGTGTGTGTGTCAATGGCGTGCCTTTGTCTTTGTCTTGTATGATGGCGAGTAGATCTTTGTGGCGCCCCTCCCCCTCCCGGATCTGCTTCTGCAGATCGCACCGACGGCGGGCGGCGATGAACGAGGCGTGCAGCTCGTCCACCTCTCGCAGCACACCCGACGC